CAGATGTAGTTACTCGATAAAAATCAATATCATCGATATTAATCGATCATTCAATTTGCCGACTGATATCGATTGTTATCGGAAATCGATAGAAATAAAAGTCACAGAAAAATATAATTTATCGGTTATTATAACAATCGATAGGAATCGATAGTTATCGATAACAATCGATAAAAAATCATCATCGATTTCAGGATCGATCTCTATCGGAAAATCATCGATGTTAATCGAAGTTAGAACTTTTTTTCTTTATCAATTTTTATCGATCGATATCGGAAATCGATATTCATCGATGATTGATTCAATTAATATCGATTATCGGTTTATCGATTAACTACGTCTGGCGACATGAAAAGCTATAGTATGAAGACCTGTTCACGCTGCGCCAAAAAGTGGCACAGAAACCTTTCAATATATACGTGACGATCCATTTTCAAGATCCGCGCGGCTTGGCTTGGCTCCGTTACAGTAATCGCGCCGATATCACCGTTCCTATGCGTGAACAGAAACCCCATCCAGTATGGTTTTCGTGCCGGCGCAGAAGCTATCCTGTGTACAGTGAACATATCCCGGGGGGGTCCCCCATAATTACCTATACGGGTATGTGCCGCCCAACGGGGTCGTGATTTTGAAGCTCCTGATTTAGAACGGGGTATCCATTTCAGAGGCGTTTTTTAGAACGGAGTGTAAAAAATTGTGGATCACGGCTTTATCTTCTGCGTAAAATTGTTGCTGATTATGAAGAAGCATTTATTTGATGTATAAGTCGAACAAATAAAGAAATATCTTTTTTAAAAAACAGGGCTATTTCAATTTACAAACTTTCTAGAACGGAATATAAAAAATTGGCCCATTCCTATAACGGGGTATAAAAAATTGGTCCATTTCTAGTACGGGGTATCAATTTTAGGGGAATTTGTTTTTAGAACGGGGTGCCAATTTGGAGTCCCGGGCGGCACATACCCACCCAAAAAATACCCAAGTGCCGGGGTTCCCCGCGGGGAACATATAGCCGTAGAAACTGGGGAGCGGCCCAAAATAGGCAGCGAAGAGGAACATTGGTTACTTTAACGACATTGGCTAGCAGCAAGAAGCCTAAGAAAATCTCCGGTTTGTCTTAAATTTAGACATTTTCAAATGGTCATTTTCTTTTTCCGAAAACCTTTCGTAAGCTACCTTAAACCAGCCTAAACGAGGATTGGGTTCACACGTGTAACGTAAACATGAGTATTTGAGCATCCCAAGATGGTGTTTTTCTAAGTCGATAGGTGTGAACTACCATGAGACAGAAGCCTAAGCACAATTAAGCTCCTGTTCACACGTGGGAAATGGAAATGTGAAACGCAAGGTTGAGATTTTCCCGTGATGTTGCCGAAATTGACGCTATGTCAAGGTATTTTAGATCAGAATGTCTTAAACACTCGTTATTAATTTGGAGTTAAATCTCATCAACCCTTAATTTGCCTTAGGTAGGAATCTTTAACCGAAAATAACGAACAGAACTGTTGTATTCATTTATGGCTTAGCGGATTCTGAGATTTTATTGACAAACACAACATTTAAGAGATGTCGGCGCTTTTGTGGCGATTGAATAGACTAAATTTGTTTAAAATAACAAACCAAGCCACTTATGTTTTGTTTATAGTATTTGCAAACATTTGATCGAAAAAACGTTTGACGTCGCCGCTTTTTAGATCCCCTGTTCGAGCTTGTTAGTTTAATTAGCTATAGGTAAAGTCACGAACGGAAACAACACCGTTGGCTGTATAGAATTAGTTACCTTAAAAGAGGTCCTCGCACACTCCAAATGAAAAGGCATCTTTTTTCCTCTTTTTTCTATGCTGTTGAGGGATTAATTGTCGCGGTAGCAGTAAGGAAGTCTAAGACTAAATTTATCGCTTAGTCGTCTGAAAGTTGAACAGAAAACGATAAAATCTCAAAGACCTCTAAATCCTCTTCAGCGCAGCGGATGTGGATTTAAAATCCCGGGGGACTTCGTATGAAAAAAAAAAAATGGGGGTTGCTTGCCCTTCCCTTTTGTTAAAGAAGGTGCCAAAATCTGCTCCCTCTATAGTTACTGCACTGCCATCTAGAGACGTATATTTGGACCTAAAATGACACTAGCTACTTTTGTCAGTTAATTAGAAATGGTACGTCTGTACTGGTTAGGGGTGAAAAGACATTTTTTAGCCACGCCCAAAAATCGCGACCCTGGTATCTTGTGTGGGGCGGGGGATGGGTGTAATTCGCACTAGCCTCCCCGTCACTTTATAACAAGGGAATTCACATATCCGATGATTGACACTGTCAATCTTTGTAACTTCTCTGTAAAATTTCGTTTGTGATCATTCGTTTCACAAGAAAACTTAGCATATGTTGACTTTTCCCCAGTTTATTCATATCTAGTTCTATGCGTAAGATTTTCTAATACTTGAAACAGTAGGCGTTTGAATTGATAAGACCGACTAAATTTTAATTACTTTATACAAGATAAAGGCTGGCATTTAATGATAAACCAATCAAGTAAACGGAAATTCGGTGGCTTGTTCTAATTTTTTGGTTTTGTTTATATTGTATATTATATCGATCTTAAACAAGTCGGTTAGCTATGATCTGTCAAGAAAACTTATCACAGTTTTATGTTGGTTCATCGTTTTACGTAACGTTTTCATTACTTCAACGTCTTCAGTGTTACGTAAGCTGTTCCTTTGGTACCTGCAGACGAACCTAAAAGTTTTCTAAAAATACGCCACTAAAAAGTAGCGTCAGTTGAAATAAAGGAAATTACATATGGGTAACCGAAGGGAATGGATTGTACCGTGTCAAAAATGGACCACGTAACTTTGTCAATGTCTCTGAAGAAAGGGAGTTATAATTGCTCTTGCGCGATAGTCAAACAGTTGACTCTATCAAATTCATCAGTGCCAAGAGTTCGGAACTTTGAAGGCATTCATGTATTTCTAACTTTGAATCCGTGACGAAATCCTGTAGTATGTCTATATGAATGAAGCCTTAACATGAATAAACTATGAAGGGCTTTCAGTTTTTGCGATATTTTACAAAATGAAATTTGACATTTTTCTACTTGAATTCATTGGGATTCCGTTCTTGGTAGTTAACGTCATAAGTAAGTCAGTTGTCTAAGTGTTACGCACGCGTACATGCTGCCTTGCCTCCTCCGGGAAGGGGGCGGGGGGGGGGGGTATTCAACAAATGTTTGTACGGGGAGGCTCCGCTGTGAGGTCCAACCCCTTACCCTTTTATATACCATTTTTCACGAAAAAGCTACCCCTTTCCTATACCTTCTATTGACAAATGGTACCCCTTTCACATACCTTGTTTAGAACTTTGCATCTCTTTTAACTGCTGTAAATCGGTCACAAAAATAGAACGTTTTCTCGACTTTATCGAGCCATAAAATTCGTCTGTTAGCCCTTTTGGGCCCTTTTGCAGACCAAAATGACAGATTTCCCTAGCCTTTTATATACTTCAACTAGTGAAATCCCTCCCCTTTCATATACCTGAAGACTGAAAAAGATACCCCTTTTGGGGCGGAGCCTTCCCGAATGGGCCATCATAGGAAGTACCCCCCCCCCCCTCCCTCCCTCCCCGGGGCCTTGCCATGACATTTCACTTCAATAAATCTTAAGAAGTAACACCATTCAAATGGCAGCAAATGGAAACTCCTGAACGGTTTTTTCTTCTATGGAACAGTTTGTTATGCTGTGTAAAGTAGTCCAAACTTCGTATGTGCTGGCGTGAAATCCTAAATTTGCGACCATTTACATCAAAGCTACCGAGCAGAACAGTGCTCTCCTGTGGTGCTCTTTACTATTCTGTATATGGTGGTTCTACCTTTCAGGGTGATCTTTGAATCTGTGGATGAAATCCTAAAGTGTAACCAGTCAAATCAAAGCAACTGAGCAGTACTTTCCAGTGGTACCCTTAAAAATACTGTACACGAAAGTATATTTCACCGTTTCAAAGCTGTGCATAAGTTTCTTAATTTCACTGACCTTTCAAATCAAAGCTCAGTGGTAAACCGCACGTTTCTCAGCATGGTGCACAACAAAATATCAAGTGTTGCTTTTTACGTTTTTTTTTTTATGTTTAGATAGCTGGACAAAATAATGATTAACCTGTAAAAAATTGCGTGCGGTATATATAGTTATTTCGACTAATATCGTTAAGGTCTTATAGCTAAACCCCACCACTGCTCAGTAAACACGTTATGGCGAGATTATTTTCAGTCAAATTTTTGAATCTGTAGACAAAATCCTGTGATGTTACCATTCAACTAAAACCTGTTTTGCAGAACTTTTGCGTGGTACTATTTATTTCGTAGGATTTTACAAAAAGGAACTTTGGTTTTATTGGTGAATACTATTCTGACTATTAGCAATGAATGACGAAAGACTCTACATGAGGCCAACAATTAACCATGTTCTTTTCCATCCATTGTTGAAGGGCGGTGAACTTAACTAAAGAAGTTTTCAGTTAATAAACGTCAGAAAGTTTATTTAAACTTGTGACAGTTAGAGGAAAATAAAGCAGAACTTTTGTAAAGAGAAAAAAGTCAGAATAAAATGATTTCTTTTACACCAGTTACACCCATAATTAATAAAGGAAGCTGAAGGCCAAATTGTTTCCTGTCGGTTAAATGGAATCCACGACATTCTTTTGTACCGTAATAAATTACGCAAGTCATTTATAATCACGCGATGTGAGACTTTCATTGAAGTTTGTTGAAAGCCTTAGCACGCATGGGTGAATCTCGATATTGACTTGATAGCGAAGATTAGATCATCTTGAAAGTTCGAGGATAACATTGTTTTGCTACTGATACGGTATGTACCAGTTGTCCATCATTCAGAGGTGATCTCCTCACCGATAAATAGAGGAAACATTATTTTATTCTGGTAGTTCAGTGCCAAGCTGCGATAATTTCCAAACTCGGCTAAGAATCTGCACTCTTGTTAAACCTCTGTAACAATATCGGCATGGAGAGTTATAACACTGGAAATGGATCTAGCAATGAAACTTTTCCAAGTTCACTGGCAGACGCGGTCCAAGGAGAAGCAGCGACCTTCAAGATCGCAAAGATCTTCTTTTACTTTCTTATCCTGTCCGCGAGCACTTTTGGCAATAGCATGGTTGCCCATGTTATAAGCACCACAAGAAAAATGCATTCTCCCTCCAACTTTCTGATACTCAACTTGGCCATTTGTGATCTTTTAACGCCGATTATCAGTATTGTGTTTGATTTCGTTTTGGAGGAAAAAAGCTATGTGTGGATCTACGGCGGGGTGATGTGCAAACTGTTATGGCCGGCGCAGACTTACTTTACCTGTGCCTCTTCACTGACACTCGCCGCGATTTCTTTGGATCGTTATCGACTTATTATGCATCCTTTTAAGACGCGTTTGTCGCTGAAGCAGATCTGCATTTTAATTTGCGGAGTCCACGTTTTCTCTCTAGCGGCTGTGGGTCCTTACGTTTATGTTCTTAACCTCAAAGATGGCTCTTGCGACGAAAACTGGCCAGACTTTGCTTACAGACAAGCTTACACGTTTTTCTTATTCCTCGTTCAGTATGGTCTGCCGCTGTGTTTTATGGCGACGATGTATGGTTTAGCTGTCCGCGCGCTTTGCCGCACTTCGGCGAAAATGCGTGATAATTCTATAACCGAAAAAGTTTCGGTAAGACGTCAGAGTGTAGAAACGCAAGTCAAACTAACGCGCAAGATTTCCCGAACTCAATCTGTAAAGAGAAAGATAAGCATGTTGAGCGCGCGAATCGACATCTGGAGTACCGCGAATGCAAAAGCCACAAAAATGTTTATTGTGGTAGTAGTGGTTTTCGCCATTTTTATGTTCCCAAATCAAGTGGTATGGTTATGGGCAGACTTTGGCGGTGGGATAAACAGTCCAAATTTTACAAACATTTCCATCATTTGCTGGCTATTCACCTACACCAACTCTGTTGTTAATCCGATTATTTTTGGAGTTTTCAGCAAAGATTTTCGCCAAGGTTTCAGGAGAGTTTTTTATCGCTTTGTTCGCTGTGGTTGTAAATCATCACCAGAAAGGAGTGGAGAAAAGGAAAGATTACAGACAGTGTCGGAATCTTAACTTTCCCACGTCTGTCTCCCACAATATATAAAAAAATCTACATTTTATTATCCAGCCGGACTTCTGGCTCTCAGCTCTTAGATCCGGTTAAATTTAAGGCGTAGGCCAGATGTGGTGTGCTACGTAGTGGTTATAGAGTCAATTCCAGTGAAAAAGAACACGTATTTACTACACTGGGCTTCATTCCGAATGCTCTTTTTCCTGTTCATTAGTAAAAGGAATTTGTATTTTATTTCTTGTTTTGACTTGGTCATTAATGAGATCGATAAGCTTAATTGCTGGAGGTGTATCGCCGACCGCGTTAGAGTAAAACTGACAACGTAGCTACTTCTGTGTCTGTTTCTGTTCGTGTCTGTCAATGAACACCCGCGCTAACTGCAAGAGATGGGAGAGAGAGTTAATCCTGTCAACACTAAAAGGCTTTGACAACCATGACTTCAATAATCAGACGAATGGAAACAGTTGCAAGTGTGGAGGCATTGACGCCTTAGGGTAGATTTCATGACGTGTCGCGTACCTGTGGTTATTCCAGTCTTGGTTTAAAACTGACTAAAAATGAAAGACAAAGAAACAGGTAGTTCTTCGCCAGTTCTTAGGAAAATAAGAGTCAGGTAAAATCTGTTCTGGGTTGTTATCAGCTCGCATCTTCTCCTTCCCTTTTCCTTACACTTCCTTTTGTACTTGTATGGAGAATTTGTTAAAGAACCAACACATGTTTTGATCAAAGCTTCATTTCTTACGATCGTTATGATAAATGAGGGGAAATGTAGTATAGGAAGACTTAAGATGCGGGTCGAAAGGGCACACTTTGAAATCAGCCGTCAACTTTATACAGTGTTGATGAAGGCGCTGTTGGACTTTACATTCAAGCTGTGCAATTTTCAATCGACAGCGTTCCATTAACGTGGGTCTTTTGTGATGATCGTTTAAACAGCATGACATAGAACATTTTTTAGTATAAATAGACTCTGATAATGGATATTGTCGGTGTTTGCAAGCGTTCCTTGTGATGTCTGTCATTGAAAAGAATCGCATTCTTATACTTATTCTTGACATACCCCTTCTTGGGGCAAAAAATAACATTAACCTTTTTTACTGAAAAAGGAACATGCCTTCTGACATTGAAAAATAAACACTTAAGTTTCATCCAGACTCAACAATTGAACAACAATGTGCGATCAGCTTGACTGTGAATTTGATTGTAATGAGGTTAATATAACTAAAGAAATGCCATGAATAACTTGCTTTGTTTACGTACATGATTCATTTTTCAATAGTATGTTTTTAACTACAAGAAATACAAACTTGTAAATAAATTATAGATTGAAGTTTTGCAAGTAAACACATTTTGGTGTATTTTTTGTGAAGTTTTAAATAGATATACATCCGTAATTGATCTGCTTCCAGAATGCTTGATTGGAAACAATGATATGCTCTGTTAACTTGAGCACACTTCTAATTGAGACCAAATTACCCAGTTGATACAACTCCCAAATTCTGTGTTGTAAACTGACAGAAAAAACTTGGTAAGATGTACATGTATGCACAAGAATTATATTATTTGAGAGTTTTTATTTGAATTGTCACGTAAATGTAGGAGTTCGTCCACAGACTCTGAAGTTCCTGTCTTCGTTATCATCATGGAGATGTCAAGTGAAAGAGCTTACAAAACATGTAATGCAGAGAGATCGAAAGAAATAATGCAAGATTTGAACAAGAGGAAGCCGAAATGGCGGCAGGGGCACCCGATGAGAAAATTGAGGCACTTGTGATATTTTCATTACCAATGTTGCTAGTAACGGCCTGTAGGGAAAGTGAAGAAGGGTGTTAGGAAAGATCCATTTCGATGATATTAATTCGATTAATCATACAGTGGACCCCAAATTAGAAAAAAGTGACAAAATTAAGTAACGTAGCTAGTTAAAAAGGAGTAATAATTGTCACTGGAAGCTAAATAATTTGTTTTTTACGCCTTTCGTTGATTCGGGCACTGATTACTTTGAAATATTTCGTCGTGGTAGTCATGATTACTGAATTTCAGCTATTCATTTCACGTTTGTAACAATGCGAAAGGCCTTTAATGCTCTATTTCTTTTAAAGTTAATTAAGTCCTTCCTGTGGTTAAGTGTCAATGCTGTGGGGTTCAAATGCCTGAAGGCTTGACCACGCCCTTAATCTGCCACCCCTGCATTTGTCGGAGGAAAGCTTAAAAGGTTTTTAAAGAACGAAGAAGCCTTGCGAATACGAATTGAAACATGTACGTTTACATGTTATCCTGTCACGAAAAAAGGGCGCAAGTTGAAAAAAGCATTAACTTAATGATAAAAAGGAAACAGAAAATGAAGCTCTAGGTTGGTCATATGAAAACAGTCTTTAAGGAGATGTGAAAAGTAGTCGAGATATATTAGTATTTAGTTGTAGGTTCTTGTAAATTTCCTCAGTTGTCTCTCGCTTGATTTGAGGGTTGGCTCAATAAAACCGATCAATGAACCAGTTGAATAAGAGTTTGGCTTATCGGCAATTGATGAGCGAAATTCAGCTAACGCAATATTGGATTTGAATTTTACACACCTCTGAGGCTTAAATTAAGCTGAGAAATCTTCGTCTCAGCTAGTTGACAGGGCATGTCTAAACCAACCAACTACTATCAAGCTCGAACAGCGTTTTTTGTCTTCATCGATTTTCATCAACCATTTCCCTCAGTGTAAGGGAATCCGGATTCCGAAATCCCGGAAATTATTTCTTGTGGAATCATGAATCCCTAGCTTTGGACTCCGGGATCGACCTCAAGGAATTCAGAATTCCACTAACGACTGGTTTCCGGAATCAAATTTCCACTGACAAGGGATCCGGAATCCAGTTCTCCAGAATTCAAGACTGTCTTGGATCAGGGTCTGGAAGGGATCTAGCGTGATCCGTGAATTGACCGGTAAACATAGCGTGAATCGGGAAAACTCATAAACTACAATCGCGATTAGTGAAAAAATAACAATTATAGACCGAAGTGGAGGTGGCTAGTATAAATTATTCACTGTAACGCGTGATCCTCTAACATAGCTGTCGGTGAATCAAGATTTCTACCGATAAAAGAGATGTAACTGTCGTTACGAGGGTTCAAACTTAAGCCATGTAAGAGTGAGGAATTGTACAGCTTCAATTTTATGGCAGTAAGATTCATTGGCAGACAAATTTGTAGTCGTCAAACAAAACGCAGAGAATCGCCAGTTTGATCAACATATTTTTTGTTTTCTTCCCGTCACGGGGTCATTCAAGACCAACTCTTGCCTATAGTGGTCCAGCAACAACAGAGAATCACTCATGGGCTTGATCAGTTCGTTACCTAATCACGTGATTCGTGAAATGACTCCAAAAGGTAACGTGATTCGTGAATGTATGGAAATTTAACCCGTGATTCGTGATCCAGACACCGCCTCCCAGACCCTACTGGATTGCTTTGCTTTACATAGAATGGCAATGGACGGCATTTGACGTCTCTTATGACGTTGTCTATTGAAACCTGTATTAAGCGGACACTACAGCATTCCTCGAGGGTGTCCGCTTAATACAGGTTTCACTGTATTGGCGCCAGCCATTTTCGGAGAATCAAGTGACTATATATATACCCCCTGGAGATCGCTGTACCAACGTATCGTCGCCACAGTCATGAATATTTACTTACTAATTGGATTACGTTATATCAGGATCGAGGGTTATATGCCTCTTAAGTTAGAACCAGTTTTTTTTCACTATTTGTAAAACTCGATTACTTTTTAGCGCGTTTCAACAATGAGAGAGCCTGCTTGCTAGCTTCATAAAGCAGACAGAATATTCAAATACACTGCAGAGTTTTGAACAATGAACAATTCCGTCAACGGAAACGTTGTTATCCGCTCAATAGATAAATGCATTTTATCCCTTCAGAAACCACTTGGAGTAGGTCAACTAAAATAGACGCAAAATGGCAGACCGAGAATGTTGTAATCGCTCAAACCCTACCAACAGACCTTACAGTGAAGTCCCGATTTTTCGAACTGATTGGCTCTAGAACGGTGAATATTCAAGGCATGCTAATATGTCCCACACTGATTATAAAATTGTAACTGTAATTACCTTGATGAAAGAACAAATACTGTACAGTACGTGCAAAGGTGAAAATAGAACAGTAAAATGATAATTTTAAATTGTATACCCTCACAGCAGCGCTCAATGCCATCACGTTCGCAGAAAAGATTGTTTTTGTGGCGATGTGAGAATATGTTTTTTTATATTTTTGGCAAGTTGATCTCGATTTTTCTTCAACAAACATCGTGTTCTAACATTTTTTCTTTATGCTCTTAAGTATCCTCGTTTTTATTGCTGCCATTATCGTTGAAATAATTGTTATAAATTACGATTGCAGTATTCCTAGCAAACCAACTAACGCTAAACATTATTGTCCTGGAAATATCTAATACCCAGCCATTATCTTGAAAGTATCGCTTGAGATGTGTGTATATTGGGGAGGAGGGGGTGGGGAAATCGAAAGAGACGGGGTACTTCGTCGGACAATTTGAATGGGTGTGATTGAGGCTTTGAACTTGAACCCGGAGGAGGAGCATACCCCAACATAGTTTGGTTCTTTCTACAGATATTTTTTCATTCTCAAATCTAAGCGACACTGTGACTTTTATGAGTAAAAATCTTGGCTTTCCGTCTTGAATACACTCTAGGAGAGACCGAAATCTGCAAACCCCTAAACGAGCGACGAGCGACGAGCGTCCCCGTCAAGTCCCCGGATCCCCTGGGGGAGTATTCCAATTATTTAAACAGTGCAACCAAAAGAAAGGTCATTACGAGCTTGTGTTTATCTGCAAAACAGCTGTTAATCATAACAATTACCCCCAGGGTAAAGCTAACTGTTAACGTTACTAAAAGAAAATTAAAACAATGGGTTGATTCATTTAAATTCCTTTGAAGCTTCAAGCCGAACTTAATTGCTAAAGAGACCGATTATATTTCTCTTTCGAGATTTGTATCATCTTGATAACACCAGAAATCTTCCCCATAAATTGCACAAACATATTCAATTTTGTTTTAGTTTTTTAACTCAAAAATGTGATGTGATCGTATAATCTGATGGTTCTACTGACTCGTCGTGTATTCCGACAATGTGTTTTTGATCGAAATAGCATTTACAACCTGTTGGAAAGGTCAGTTACCTTAAAGTCTGTAGCACTTGAAAAGTTATACACTACTTCGGCGCTTCGCCAGTCGTCAACAGCAACGTACACGGGTCTTTATCACACGGTTCTTTAATCACGTTTTCATGAATATACGAAATTGCAAAAAAGAAGAAAGAAAGAGGCTGGAGATATAGACGTCAAAGAAACTCGAAATAAAAGGTAAAAACCACCTAAAACTGCCCGACAAGACGGATAGTACCGTGTGCAATTTCTCCCTTAGTGTTCCAAGATTTTCGACAAATATAAACATTTGTAAAATTTGCGGTCAACACGGTAACCAGGCGATTCGCAAAGGACATCTTTTCACCAACTCTTTTGCCACTCTTTTGCTCACAAAAGTCCTCCTGCTTTTAAGAGTGCGTACGAACTCTGCATTTTGAATTTTAAATATTCACACCGTAGGAAAAGAATGGTTTAATAAATATATGAATATAAATAAATGACCTACAGATTAACAGCTGGTTTCCTTGATGCCATTTAAATTCATATTTAGGCTAAATAATTGTTCAAGAAACAACACCGACTCTTTTTCTGGAGGTAGTCCTTCCAATATGTTTTTGGAGGTCTCCGAGTTGCTGATGATATTAGTGTACTCGT